GGGGGACAGGAAACATGGGAATTGGAGGAGGGTGGGAGAGGAGAGTAGCATAGAAAATTATTTTCCTAAAAAATAATTTCTACTATCTAACTAAATATTAGAAAATATTTTCCGAAAAAAGTTTTTCATTCACCAATCAAACATGGGAATTAAGTGATAACACAATTCATTTTCCAAGGAAAATATTTTCCTTCATACCAAATACACCCTTAAAGTGTTTGATTTTGTAATGAAGGGTGTGTGAGTATAATTGAGTTATATTACAGGGGTGTTTAGTGTAATATTTATAAAAAGATAGTTTACGCCAGGGCTAGTTTTGTATTATCACTTCTACTGGCTGACACCATCTTGCTCCTAAAACCCCCAAAAAACCGAAAAACCCTGCCCATTTTAGCAGTTCCTGTAATTAACTGTAAGCTGTTATTCTCTATGTTTTGAATTGTCAATAGAAATAATTGGGATCTGAAATTATATTTTTGAATATTTCTTTCATATTCTTCAATTTTAGGTATTTTCTCTGTATCATAGTTACTGAATGATTATAGAGTTTTAATCCTTTCTGGTGTTTGATTTACTAACTTGTTCAGCAAAAAAATTGAATATTTTTTTAAGACAATATATAGATATACATATATGCTGGATCCGCCTATGTCTTTATTAGATATTTTCTGTGCATCATATTTGCTGAATGATCGAAGGGAGCCTTGGCGGAACTGGTACAGTTATGACATGTGACCAGGAGGTCACAGTTCGATTCGTGTAAACAGCCTCTGGCAGAAATGCAGTGTAAGACTGCATACAATAGACTCTTGTGGTCCAGCCCTTTCCCGACCGGTGCACACCGGTAGTTTAGTACATCACGGCTGCCCTTTATAGTTGAATGATTATAAAAATTCAATTTTTTTTCTTATTTTTTGTGAATGTGGTGTCTGAGCCAGCACAAATATCGGGTAACTCTAACACCCACTTGGGAAGAATTATGAAGGTTTAATCTTTGGTGTTTGATGTACTAATTTGTGCAGCTATAAATTTCATTTTTTTTGAAGGAAGCAGATTCAAATGGCTTATAGAAGGAACTTAACAACAAGAGCTAAGTTTCTTTATCAGCAACAAAGAGTTATTACTCCAGCATTTTGTTACCCACATGATGATGATAAAAAAACTCAAGAACCCATTTGTAAAAATCCAAGATTTTCCACTTTTTTACAACCCCATTATGTGAAAAGTGGAATTAACAGTTTAAATGGGCCCAAAAGCCCATTTCAAGATCGAAGATTTCGCCCTTCACAACACATGATTTGTATGAGTTTGGGCTCAATGTTCACTAGGAATATGTCTAGTAGTGTTAGTGGCGGTGGAACAGAGAAGATAGAGCACATAAGTGAAGTTGCTGAGCTGGCAGATAAGGCTGTCGAGGTTGTAACTTCTCAAGTTCCAGCATTGAATGAGGTGGCAGTTGCTGCTGCTGAGTCGTATTTGCCCGTGCAGGCGTTGCAGTACTTGATTGATTATGTTCATATTTTTACTGGATTTGATTGGTAAGATTAATTTTTATTTCTATTTGGATAATATTGGCATGAGATGATTTTGAACGGAGTAACATGCTCAGTGGGGATTTATATAGCCGACCATAACATGTTTGGGACTGAGTAGTAGTAGTAGTTGTTGTTGTTGATTGGTAAGAATAGCATGATATATTGCTTGTTGTTTCAATTGATGTAGTAGTAAAAAGGAAAGAGTTTGGTATAGTTATTCCTCTTTGGATAAATTTTAGGCAGGGGCGGATGTAGAGTGTAAGTTATGGGTAGCTTTGGCTCGATCTTATATATGTGTTATAAAATTGATTAAAGAAGTAGAAATAATTGATTTCGATCCTAGTAAATCAAATAATTTCTGGTATTGAATCCCAAACTCGAAACTGTTATGTTCAAATCCTTGATCTGTCTCTGAATTTTTAGGTGAGAAAGAGAGGGATAATATAGTTTATGAATCTTTTTACTTGTATTTCATATATAAAAGTATGTGCATGTGTGTTTAGTGTAATAAAACGTTGGGGTTTAATTTGAGACGATATTTTGAATTTATAGTATGTCATGTTGATTGATTTGGTTTTTGGACATTTATTAATCGGGAGATGGACATATGTTTGCTGGAACTCTTACTATAGAACTGTTTAATTCTAAACGCTTGAAGGCATTGCATATATTGAAGTTTTTTCTTTTCTTTTTGTAACTTTTGATGTGTTTTTAATTTCGGTTTCGAGAGATTTGCTCCTAAGAATTTTGACAGATATAGGAAATGTTTCTTCTGAAATACTTAGGAAACCTTAACATTCATAGTTTGTTTCTCTCTTTTGGTTGTGCCGTTGTAATGTAACATTCGCGAGTTACAATCAACTTGTGCTTTATAGTGTCACGAAATGACTGACCACTTCATTTTGGAAATATATTTCAGGTGGGCATCAATAATTGCTACAACTATTATTATTCGATGTATAACCCTTCCATTAATGATTAATCAGCTCAAAGCCACTTCAAAATTGGCGGTAAGTTTCTAATGGATCTTAACGTTACTGTCATGGTCATATAAAATGCACTGGTCTTTATCAGACAGATAGCTCAGGTGTGCATGTACATGAGTTGTTTCATAAACCTACTTGCTCGAGCTTGACTTGGATTTAGCTTATAGCTTAACCAACTCATGATAACACTATAACAGCGCTCAGGCTCGACTTGATCACTATTATCTTTGCTTGTTACTTGTTCAAGTCAGCTAGAAAGTACAAAATTCGTGGTAAACAGGTTCTGTTCGACATACATATGCTGTACAAAATGAAAATTTTGTCTTCGCAAAGTCTAGGGAGAAGGTGGTTATGCTGTTTTGTTTGTCTGAAGCAGACAGTGACAACTGATTTCTTTTCTCGTAGCCCTAACTATATCAACTTCTTCACCAGCTTAAAAAAAAAATACAGTAATATTTTAGTACGCAGAGTTGCTATATAAATTCTTAATCTTTGAATGTCTTTGGTCTTTGTTAACGTGTATTGACATTTTCCAGAATTGTACTGGATGTGCTTGATATCTTAATCTGATGTACAATAATTTTAGAAATTGTGTTGAAAATGTACTGAGCAATCATGTTGTAGCCTTATAGGTCAAGCTCAAATTAATTGCCCCAAGATTAAGTCGATTATAAACTACAAAGCTTGATGTAGATTCTCTACTTTCTATTATATTGTTTTGTATATGGTATTTGTCCCAAATCAAATAATATTATTACTTTATCAAAAAATATACCAACTAGAAAGTTTAACTCAAGTTAAGTCAGCTCAGGCCAAGCATTTTATTTCTTAAAAAAAAGGCAATCTGGTGCACGAAGCATCTTGTGTACACGCAAGGTCCGGGAAGGCCGCACCCCAAGAGCCAAGAAAGCAAGAAAGTGTAATGTAGGCAGCCAGCATCACTTCCTGATTCTAGGGTTCGAAACTGTTCAGGCGTTTCATTCAACTTTTATTGAAGTTTGACTATTTTTACTGGCTGTCTACTTGCCACAACCCTTATCCTTAAATTGATGTGAGACCCGCTATGCGAAGTTCACTTAGGCAGACGCGGAGCTTTCTGTAAACTTTTAGATACTATTCGAAAATGTTGAAGTAACCAAACCATTTGCTCATCAGAATCTAGTCCCTCGTTCTGCATCTCTTACACAAGCCCAATGCAAAAAAGAAAAGAATTATAGTTGTTTCCCGTTAATTTATAGTCTATCTTTGCTAATTTTGGGTTTCTTCACAATTCATCCTTTTTCTTTTCTTCGTTTTTTGGTGAAAATTCACAAATCATCCATTTATTAACATGCATGTCTTTTGCAGCTTGTGAAGCCAAAGTTGGATGCGATTAACCAAGAGATGCAAGATAGGGTAAGTTTGATATGATTGTCTTCCGATCGCCATTGACATACATTATTTGGTCTTGTTGTACTGATTACTCCCTCCGGTCCACAATAAGTGACCAATTTGCTTTGGGCACACCCATTTAGGAAATACAAAATTCTAGACAAAAATAGTTAGTGTGACTAAACTACCCTTAATTAAATGTTGCAACATAGTTAATGTGAGGAGTAAAAGACTTTTTAGGGATATGTACTTAAGGGTAATTTTGGAAAAACAAATTGAATTTTTTCTTGATTATATAAATGGACACTTATTTTGAACCAAAATAAAAATGCAAATTGGTCACTTATTGTGGACCGGAGGGAGTATTACACATTGCCATTCTGTTTTAGTACAAGATTCTTATACTCGAACCCTCTGTATTATCATCTCTAGTTACTAGTTCCAAATAGATTATATATCTATCTAACTTAGCCAATATATCAACGCGTTCCATACTCTTTGTGACCAATGGTGGCGCCATAATTTTCAATAAGGGGTGTTAAAAAAAAAGAAAAAATTAAATACACGGAAAAGCCAAGGTGATTCAACATATAGTATATATATGCATGAAACAAAATCTTTTACCTAGCAATACAGTGCAATTTTCCAGCGAAGGTGTGTCAGCTGCACCCCTGGAGCCACTGTTTGTGACAAACTATATAAAACTCCCATGATATTTTTCGTTCTAATTAAGCTAGTCTGCTAGAATTACCTAGTTAAACTTCTTACCTTTTACTAGGGTATGGCTCCGGCAGCTGTCGCTGAAGGTCAACAAAAAATGAAAGCAGCAATGAATGAGTAAGCAACTTCTCATTAAATCATATGTATGACTTGTTTGGAGAAGAACTAAAATGCAAATCCATAGTTTCATTGGAGTCCTTAATTATCTTATGTATGCTCGACATATAATTGGCCTCATAATTGACTGAAATGTTTCGACATGATGGATGTCTTTTCAATCTATGACATTCTTGCAGATATGGAGTTTCACCCTTCACTCCCTTAAAAGGAATTCTAATACAAGGGCCAATCTTTGTTAGTTTCTTTATGGCTGTAAGTTTATCCACTTTCTGCTATCTATAATGTCCTTTTTTTCTCTCTCCCTTCCATATTCATTACTAAAAAGTTAAATTTATCGCCTAAAATTCAGATTTCAAACATGGTGGAAAAAGTCCCTTCTTTCAAACAGGGGGGAGTGCTTTGGTTTACTGATCTAACTACTCCAGATAGTATGTACATCTTCCCTGTTTTGACTGCATTGACATTCTGGATAACGGTGGAGGTGAGTTGTGCTTTTGTTCATTTCGGTGTATTATTTTGTGGTGCCCCTTTTTCTATTCTCTAACAAATCCTGTTGTCTCTGTCTAGATATCTTTACACCAATACAATTTCTGACCCTTTTTGTTAACCAGAGTTTGTTCTTTCTCAGTGCAATGCGCAAGAAGGGTTGGAAGGAAATGCTCATGCTAAAACTATAAAAAATGTCTCACGAGCCTTTGCTGCTTTAACTATCCCATTTACTGCTGGTTTTCCTAAGGTACATAATCCAAACCAACTCATGCATAATGATTTATCATGTATTTATCCATTCCTATTACGCTAGTGAAGAATATGAGGTAGAACTTTTGTACATCAGAAGTACATGATGTGCTTTCGCTTCAAATTGGCGTTGTGTCTGACTGTTATCAGAGGTAGATCCATGATTTGAACTTTATGGGTTCAAATTTAGAATTCTACCACATCGCGTACTGGGTTCAAAGTTTATTTTTGCACTTATTTAGCTGGATTTTTAACACATATACAAGGCCTATACCGAAGTTACTAGGTTCAGATGAACCCGTAGCTTTTTCATTGGCTCCGCCCCTTGTTGTTATCTTCTTCTTTTTTCCGGGTTTCCTGATTGAGTACATGCATTATCTGTTGGTTTTTTTGATTGTTAAGGATATCCTTAAACATTCCTTTCATAACTTGACCTACATTATAGGTCAAGTTATAAGCATTCTTAACTTCTTAATTGCTCAAAGATAACTTCACTATATTTACCTTACACAAGGTATTAGAATATGGGATTGGTGCACCCAAAGGTTCTACCTTTATCGGCTGGCTCTCTCTTCTAGTGGTACTAAATGATCGTATCATAAGCGTTTTGCATGTCAAAAGTCATAATCGAGACCCAACTAATTTATTATGGGTGTCTATCATGTTTAACACAATTGTTGTTCGTGTTGGACCATGTGAACCCAGAGGCGGAACTAGGATTTTAACTTTATGGATTCTGAATTGTGGAACGACAACTTCAATTGCTAATAACTGGGTTCTAAATTTACTATTTGTACATATTTAATGAATTTCTTAACACAAATGCACTGTTTGACCAAAAACTACTAGGTTCAGCCGAACCCGTAGCCGCACTTCTAGCTCCGTGCCTCCACCCTTGTGTGAACCTATGGTTAACCTTTATGTGCTATGTAATGCTTGTAAATGCTATGTGCTCGTGGTATGTGCTTGTGTTCGGAGTTGATTTGAGTTCTTGCCTTCTTGGTTGGTTATTCTTTCATTGGTTATAGTGATATGTCGATCATTGTTTTTTTTTTTCCAGGCAGTATTCTGTTATTGGATGACCTCAAATCTTTTTTCACTCTCCTACGGATTGGGTTAGTATTATGATTCATTTCCTGCACAAGCATACATGTCTTGCAATTTTTAGTTGTTGAAATTGTCGTTAACATGTTTCACTTTTCATCTTGTGTCTTCTTTGTGTGCCAGTGATTAAAAATCCTGCAGTTAAGAAGTTACTTCGCATTCCTATAATACCTGTCAGTCCTCCATCTGAACAAAAACCGGGACTCTCATTTTTCGATACTCTCAAGAAATTTGCTGCAGCGCAAGAGCACTTAGTGGCACAAAAGCACGCTCAGTCATCATTTCCCCAGGCATCAAAACCCACAAGTCAAGGTCTATCATCATCATCATCGTCGTCGTCTTCTGTTCTTGGTAAAAGGATCGAAAGTTTAGAGAAACAAGTAAAAAGAAGAAAGAACAACAAGAAGAGACGTTGAACCGTTGTTGATTGAAGGAGAAAAATTGGTCTAGCAAATTGATAATTATAGGTTATTATTAGTTGCGCATATACACCATTGAAATCTATGTTGCTCAGACTTTCCAAAAGTGCTGTTGCACCCGTGTCGGATCTTCAAAAAATACCAACAACATTTTTGAAGAGTTCGAGCAACATAGATTGAAATAATTGGGGCAGAAGCTCATTTTTCACTAGTTATGTTTCTTGAGAATTATAGGGTAGGGGAGCGAGCAGTGTGTAATTTTTTTCAAAGTACTTCATAGAGATGTAATATTTTTTGTTTTGTTTCATTTTTCATACGAATATAGGCATTTGAGAAAAGATTATAGTCTAAGAAATTTTGTAACGATGACCAGAATACTGCAGCACTAGATGTCATCAGTAGTTTGCTGTAATTAGCAAATCAATTTTGACTTGCAACCACAAGTTTTAATTCTTCTTTATTAATCTGGTTGAAAGTTGTTTATGTTATTCAATTTGTTCCTCGCAGATTGCAACTAGAAAGACAATCGTCTTGCTTATTTGCTTGATCATTGGTAACGATTGATGTGAATTCAAGTGTTTTGAAATAAAATTTATATATTTGAAAATAACCAAAGAAAAAAAAAAAATCATAAGTTGCAATATAAATTAATAATTTAAAATACTTCTTCCGTCCAAGTTTACTTGTTCATTATACTAAAAATAAATATCCACTTTTACTTGTTCAATTTAGAAAACTAATGAATAATTTATCATATTATACCTATTTTTACCCTTATCGTTTTTCAATATTTTGGATTTATAATAGTCAAAATTAGTTATTTAATAATAATAACTAGGGGGTGATATAATAAAATTACAATATTATTTATTGTTTGAGTGTGTCAATCATTTTTCAATATTTTGGTAATTAGGGGTGATATAATAAAATTACTATATTATTTATTGTTTCGGTGTGTCAAGTCAATAATAAATAAGTAAACTTGAATCGAGTGAATATAGTACTTTAAAAATTGATGGTCAAAGAATAACTTCTTTGACTTCCCAAATATTAATAGCGCCACTTAAAACTAGGGAATTTTAATTACTAAAACTTAGGTAATCTCTCGCTCACTTTAATTAATTTTTGGATAACTTCACACATATTAAGAAATTCACCTTTTAGTATTAATTAACAACGAAATTGACCATATTAATATTAATTTGTTCATTGAAAATATAAAAAAATCCTCCTCTAAGGACAACTTTAAAAAAAATTTAATTTTTTCTTGATATCTAAAAAAAAAATTAAATATTATGGACCACGTAAATTAATTAATGTGGATGGATGGATTAACGTCAAATAGTTTAAACTGCATGGGAGGAATATACTCTGCATACAGTTATATATATCGCACAAAATACTGAAAAGCTTTCCGTGAGACCCGTAATTCTGATAACCGTAACTTCCCTTTCTCCATTGAAACTACATTTTCACGTAAACAAAAAACAATCTCATTTCTCCAAAATTAATCCTCAGAAATTTGACACAAATTTATGAAAATTTGTATATGTTTTAATTAATCGGTGTACCCACATTTGCAATCTTCTTCTATCTAGTGAAGGAATTGCACGTGAAAAGCTATATATATATATANGGTTGAACCGGCTAAGCCAGCTAAAGACGGAAAACCGTCAGTTGGACCGGTTTATCGGAGTTTATTCGCTAAGGGCGGGTTTCCACCTCCGATTGAAGGCTTAGATAGCTGTTGGGATATTTTCCGGTAACGAAAAAAAACAGTAATTTACTGCAAAATTTTGATTAAACTGCTTGTGGATTTTACGTTATAATTTGATTGACTAAATGTTACTTAATATCTACGTTGAATTTATTGGATTAGTTCGCAAAAAAGGTGTAGTATTTTAGTTTCATACATTTGATCATTGGTGTAGTTCTCAGATTGATATTTGAATTTTTTCGTACTTAGATATGTAGTCCGATTTTATTTCATACACTAAGTGGCAGTGTAGCATTTTTATATATTTGATGAGCAGAATGATTTTTGACCTTTCACTTTTTTTTTCCTTCAAAATCTTCACACAAAAGTAGCTATCTGTGCCTTTTGGCTGTTAATTATGTGCATAATAAGAGGCTTGCTTCAAGCAGAAATATCATTCAGTTCATGCTAATTGAATGCATGCATAAATTGTGCCATTCAATTATGCTACCTTACATGCATATGGTGACTACACTTTTAATCTCAGCTATTAGTTGCCAGTTTCACTTGAAAATCTTTCAAAGAAACTCTAATTATGACACTATTAGTTTTGTGGTTTTCAGAGAGGCTGCTTAGAATTATGCCACACTTTCTACTCCTTCTTCAGTGAAGATATCTTCTAAGTAAATTAGTCATAATTTTCAAAAGCATATCACTTCCAATGTGCCTTATTTTAATACTAAGCTATGGCTTTAGCAATTTGAGCTGTAATTGGCTATTTGCATAATACTTTTTAACTTAGAATAAAAAAAGTAAAAAATGGCAGTCCGGTGCACTAAGCTTCCGCTATGCGTGGGGTCCGGTGAAGGACAGGACCACAAAGGTCTATTGTACGCAGCCTTATCCTGCATTTCTGCAAGAGGCAGAAAGCTTGTAAAAGTTTGCTGTCTGATATTGGAACTTATAGATGCTTTCTTGTTCTATGTCACAGTATGTCAGTGGAGAAATATCCCAACAACCGAATGCTTGGCCGCCGTAAGATTGTGGATGGAAAGGTATGTTTTACTACACATTAGTTTCAAATCCTACTTTCAAAGGACTTTAGTTTTCTGAACTAATGTTAGCTGTTTCTTGTATTTGTTGCTCTTATCTTCAGCCCGGAAAGTATGTGTGGACGACTTACAAAGAAATATATGACATTGTCATAAAAGTAGGAAATGCCATCCAGAACTGTGGTGTAGAACAAGTAAGTTTCCAACTCTCTTTATCCTCTGTTTATTTTGATAGTTCCACTTATCGATTTCTGTTGCCTGTTTATTATTGTTCATCCCCTTGATTTTCTTTACTTTTTCAATTTGACTTCTGATTTAGGGAGGAAAATGTGGTATTTATGGTGCCAACTGCCCTGAGTGGATTATAAGCATGGAGGTATTGCTCTTTCTGTTGCTTATTTTGTGTATGTCTGAAGCGTTTCATGTTGTCCTCCTTTTTCTTCTTTTTGTTTTCTCTGTTTTTCGCTTTTTAGTTTTCTGCATTGTGAATGTACATCTACGAGAGAGGACTTCCATTACTGTTCTTCTAGGTCACGTTTTATTGGTAAAACTGTTATGTTTATAAATTGATGTTTATACATGGACATCTATATTCTATAACATGACAACCTTTGGATTGTACGTCTATTAATCAGTGTTTAGCTGGCTATCTTTTCGATTCTGAAGATGCCCGTGAAAATATTTGGCATCTGAATGATAAAGTCATTCTTTTTTCCTTTTTGCTTTAAATCCTAACATCTTTTGAATGACCACTTGCCTTTTATAACAAGATGCTTTTATTACTCTTCTTTTTTCCAAGTCCACTTTCAATCTTTCTGGGTTCCTATCTTCGCTGCTCACTATTTCTGCTATTGTTTTGTTATAACATCTATTGTTTGCCCGGATAGATGTTAGAAATTAAACCTTGTCTGTAATTCTTATTGACTCTGATAGCAACTTATTAATGCAGGCATGCAATGCTCATGGACTCTACTGTGTCCCTCTGTACGACACTTTAGGTATGTATTCTTCTTCTGTGATAATAGTGGCTCTGTGCTCTTCCTTGTGAATAGACTTAATCATCCTTGGTGTTACTCTTATGGATAATCGAAATGTTCTGGGCTCGTTCAAATGAGATGCGTGATCGTGCAGTTTGACTACCAAGAGGCTATCACATTTACCAGTCATGCTGATGTAATAACTAGTATATAATGATAATCTTTTTTATGTCTTAAGGTGCTGGTGCAGTGGAATTTATCATTTCCCATGCTGAGGTTTCAATTGCTTTTGTTGAGGAGAAAAAGGTTCCCGAGGTATAGACATGACATCCTAGGAGGTCAACTTTAAATAGACAGTCTTATATTAACTATTCAAACATCAAGTCTTGGATTCCATAAGCATGTTGATCCCCAAGCTACATATATATGACTTTCTACTGTGGAAGTGAAATTAACTCGCCCGTGCAGGATAAAGAATGATCTGCTTGAACTTCTATGCTGTTTTAAAAAGATTTAAATGTTTCAGACTTGGACATCATTTTTTATAGAACTTTCGATTATTATAGCTTTCAGAAATAAATTGTTCCAATAAATAGGATAATGACTAGAATGTTTCAAGAGATTGTTGTTTCAGAAGTTTATTAATGTTGAAGTTGGAGCTATGTTGTTGAAAATTCAGGGATGTGCTTCTTACTAAAATGTGCTCTTATTCTTTTTCAGCTTTTGAAAACATTTCCAAATGCAGCGAAGTACTTGAAGAGTAAGTCAATTGTAATTTAGTTTTCTTTTTTCAGAAGTGTGAAATATGTCATCTTATGGCAAATTGTTTCCTGTTCTTAATCACCAGCGGTTGTGAGTTTTGGGCATGTTACTCCTCAACAAAAGGAAGAGGTTGAAAAGTTTGGAGCGGCTCTCTTTTCCTGGGATGAGTTTCTACAACTAGTAAGACTTCTCTTTTCAAAGGATACGTATATTTTCTTGGGTTTATACTGATTGATGCACCCCTTTCCTACCTTTTTGAACATCACATACTTATATGACTTCAATATTCCCTATAAGTTAAACATCACACCTCTCACTATGTGCAGGGAAGCAAAAATCAGTATGACCTTCCAGTGAAAAAGAAGACTGATATTTGCACAATAATGTATACTAGTGGAACGACTGGAGAACCCAAGGGTGTGATGATTTCGAATAATAGCATTGTTACTCTTATAGCTGGAGTGAAGCGTTTTCTTGAGAGTGTACATGAGGCGGTGAGATATATGTTCTTTCTATTTTCATGTGCTTCGAAGTAAAGGATAGCCAAAGTTTTAATCTCCCTTTTGAAAATGTGTTTCTTTGATCTAACGTTTTCGTATTGCAGTTGAACGTGAATGATGTATATCTCTCATATCTTCCCTTGGCGCATATCTTTGATCGGGTGATTGAAGAATGTTTCATTAGTCATGGTGCCTCAATTGGATTTTGGCGAGGGGTAAGATCTCCACATCTTCTATGAAAATTATGACAGAGCTTATCTTATGCACTTCTTATCATGTTTGCAGGATGTCAAGTTACTAACTGAAGACATTGGAGAGCTGAAACCAACTGTCTTCTGTGCAGTACCTCGGGTATTAGACAGAATATATTCAGGTAATATCTTTACTGCTCCCTTACAATTGATTCATCTAAAGTGTCAAACCTTTTCTCCTAATCACTAATATAGACCTCCCTTTCTAATGAAATCCGTGTG